TACCAAAAATAAATTTCTGATTAGAAGAAAGTGCGTGTTAGAAAGTCCAGGATGTCTTGTTAATGACATTTGCTTGGTCCCCTGTGGGCGTGGACTCCCCCTCAACTGCAAACTCGCTGGGGACTGGCGTCTCACCCAGGAGTCACACAGAGCCACGTAGGGGAGGAGCTCCCTGCTCGCAGAAGGGGAGGATCTGCCCTGTGTCTACTGGGCCAAGAGAATACTGACACGTGTGCCTGACAGCACATGATGGGCTTAGCCTTTTTTGTGTGTGTGTGTTTTTTTTTTTTTTTGAGGAGGGAGTCTCGCTCTGTCGCCCCAGGCTGGAGTGCAGTGGCGCGATCTCGGCTCACTGCAAGCTCCCACCTCCCGGGTTTCAACGGCCATTCTCCCGCCTCATTGCCTCCAAGTAGCTTGGGACTACAGGCGCCCGCCACCACGCCGGCTAGTTTTTGTATTTTAGTAGAGACGGGGTTTCACCTTGTTAGCCAGGATGGTCCTCGATCTCCTGACCTCTTGATCCACCCACCTCGGCCTCCCAAAGTGCTAGGATTACAGGCTTGAGCCACTGCGCCCGCGTGTTTTTTTTTTTAAACAGAGTTTCGCACTGTTGCCCAAGCTGAAGTACTGTGGTGCAACCTTGGCTCACTGCACCTTCCACCTCCTGGGTTTAAGCAATTCTCCTGCCTCAGCCTCCCAAGTAGCTGGGATTATAGGCTCATGCCACCATGCCTGGCTAATTTTTTTTTTTTTTTTTTGGTATTTTTAGTACAGACGGGGTTTCACCATGTTGGCCAAGCTGGTGCCTCAAACTCCTGACCTCAGGTGATCCACCTGCCTCGGCCTCTCAAAGTGCTGGGATTACACGCATTAGCCACCACGCCTGGCCAGGCTCAAGCAGTTTTTAAACTTTTATGATAGTTCTGTCAAAAGCTTTTAACCCATAAAACAGGTAAGAGAGAAGCAGCTCTGTGTGAGTGGGTAAGGGGCCCTGGTGCTCTGAGTGTGTTCTCCCCCAGCATCCTCGGCCAGCTCCTGGAGCTCTGCCTCCATGCAAACACAATCTGAAACCCCACCATGTGACAAGGGCGTTGCCCTGTGAGCCAGCAGGTCCACGGCCTCGGGTCTTGTCAGCAGCTCTGGGTGACCTTGGGCCAGCCTCAATCTGCCCATTTGGACAACAAAGATAGGAACCCTGGGCTCTGCCCAGCATCACTGTGAAGTTACAGCCAGGCACTGATGCATCTGAAAGGACTTTTCCAACTGGAACGTGCATCTAAATGCAAGCTTTCTTCCCCATGCTGGTAAATCTCTCTTGGGGATAAGACTTCTTATATCCTGCTATTAGGCACCAGGCACAAAGCAAAGCTCTTCGACGCCTTGACTCTGAGAAGCTCTCACTGATAATTTACATGACATTGTCAAGAAGCAGCCAATAGCGTGGCTGCACTGTGGACTCCTGACCAGTGGTTAACTCAGCATATTTGAAAACTGTGCCTCAGGGACTGGTGATCTCTAGCTTCTTCCTTCCTATCTCAGAAACAACAGCGTGTGCCAGGAAACGTTCACTAGGAAGCAATGAGGTGTAAACCACATCAGCGGATACCTCTTTCTGTCCAGCAGATATTAAAGATTTAAAATATAACAAAAATGCTCACTTGATAAAATCACTACTCTCTTGTAAACCGGTATATTAGCTCTAAAGAAAGCACTCTGGCACGTCAGGAGTTTGGTTAACTTCACTGGCCGGTTTTGATCACTGTACTATGGTTGTGTGTGACATCACCATTGGGGAGCTGGAGGAAGGGCACATGGCACTTGCTGGATTATTATTATTATTTTTTTTTTGAGACGGAGTCTTGCTCTGTCACCCAGGCTGGAGTGCAGTGGCCGGATCTCAGCTCACTGCAAGCTCCGCCTCCCCAGCATCCCTCGGCCAGCTCCTGGGAGCTCTGCTCCATGCAACACAATCTGAAACCCCACCATGTGACAAGGGCGTTGCCCTGTGAGCCAGCAGGTCCACGGGCCTCGGGTCTTGTCAGCAGCTCTGGGTGACCTTGGGCCAGCCTCAATCTGCCCATTTGGACAACAAAGATAGGAACCCTGGGCTCTGCCCAGCATCACTGTGAAGTTACAGCCAGGCACTGATGCATCTGAAAGGACTTTTCCAACTGGAACGTGGCATCTAAATGCAAGCTTTCTTCCCCATGCTGGTAAATCTCTCT